AGAAAAATCAGGTCTCTGGTTAAATCAGAATCTACAGTTTAATGACTTTATCTATTTTTTTTAAAGTTTTTTCCTGATAAGACCTGCTATTGTGCACATAAACCACTTTTGCGCTAACATTTTTAAAATGATTTTTGTCATCTGAAACATAAATACATTTACATTATTGGTATGGAAACCTGGTAGTGGTGCACCAAATTGTTATTTTTTTTTGACAGAATACCTGTTGTCAAAAGGAAAAGAAATTGTATAGGTCTTCTGGACGGGTTCTTCTTTAATGAAATGTTTCGTCTCTCTTCCAAGAGACTTCTTCAGTCTGAGAGTTTCAGGCAAAATTCAAGCTTTTGAGTCCTGCCTCCATGTGACTGACATTCACATCACATGGCCATGGTTTACAGGTGACTGATACTCACATCACATGCTATCGTTCACAGCAAAGAAAATCACTGTGAACGATGGTCATGTGATGTGAGTATCAGTCACATGGAGGCAGGACTTAAAAGCCTGAATTTTGCCTGAAACTCTCAGACTGAAGAAGTCTCTTGGAAGAGAGACGAAACATTTCATTAAAGAAGAACCCGTCCAGAAGACCTATACAATTTTTTTTCCTTTTAATTCAAAGGTAACATATCTTTGTAATACTTGGTTTTATTTCATAATAACTTTAATTGCTGGATGTTCGGCCCCTCAGCTGTTGACCGGCAGTAACTGTGGCCCACAGAGCAATTTAGTTGAATAGCCCTGAGTTACACCATTGTCTACTAGACTTTATGTATAAAATATACAAATAACTGTGAGAGTCTCAGGTGTAATCAGTCAGATTCAGACTAAAGAACTTTATTCCAGCATCTGTGGATACTTCGTTACAGAACATGGTTCTCCTATTCATCCTTTTAACAGTTTTTCACCCCATGCCTGTCACAACATCGCCCTCTGGTGACAGGGAGAGGTCACAGAACTGGATGAGAACCCAAACGCTTTCACTGTACAGGCTTAAAAACACAACATCTCCCTAATACCTAAAACAACCATGTTCAGTGGGGGGTGGGTAAAAATATCCATTCATCAATGCATTACAATAAGAAAATCCTCTGATTAAAATGGATCTCTTGGCCAGTTTGTCATGTTTGTACTCCATATTTAGAACAAGTATTATTGTGCTGCTGCTTTATTTTTAGATATTTTAATCTCAAAAATTTTGTTTTTTCTCAGTTTCTCCTGTTTTCTCCCGTAGTCCAAATAAYGTTAGGGTGCTTTCTGGTCCAGGATGCCCTTGAAAAAGAGATATATGATCACACTGGTATAAATAATGCTTATGCCCAGTTTGTTGTTACTGCATTTTTCATAGAAGAGGATCTTTCTCAGGTTGGTTTGTGGAGAAAGACCTCCTCAGTCCTCAGGGTTCAGTGTGTGCCAAGTACCCACAGTGCTGGTCCATATTTGATGGTAAGGAGGATCTGGTTGCTTCTTGTTTTCTCAAAGTTAGCCCCTAGGTTAACATCAGGTGTTGTCTCTTTTGGAGGGGATCAGAACTGGTCCACTTGTTCCTGGTGTTATCTGGTCACCAAAGGGTTCTCTGCCAGTTATATTGTTCTGAAATTGATTGATTTAGTTTGATGTTTAGGTCTTTTTATTTACATTCAGGTTGCAGGCAAAGACATTTCATTCAACAACAAGTAGTGGTGTTCTATTTYAAATATGAACATCTTGATCATTTCAGTGCTTATTTCTAAAGAAGATGAAGCAAACCCCCTCGGATCATGAGTCTGTCATGACAGTTTTCTTTGTCATTTTTTTCTGCACAGTATCTTGGTTTATTTTCATCTTATTTCATCTTTATAGTCTTAATTTTATTTTTATTTTATTTTTAATTTTATATTTATTAATTTAGTTCTATTATTATTGCTACTGTTGATAATGTCACATAGCAATATATTATTTTGTGGACTGATGTAACTGCTGCTGCTGTTACACCTGAATTTCCCCTCTGCAGGACAATAAAGGCTGTTTCTTCTATTCTTCTATTTTAATAAAATGTAAAAGAGCACAAGTGCCTTTTTGTGTAAATGTGTTTATTTATTGGTTGATTTATTCAGATCTGCCCGTCACTATCTGTGTCTGCAGGACAGCGTATACAAAGCCAGTCGAACCACAAAGATTCCAGTTCGGTGGACAGCTCCTGAAGCAGCACTCCACCAGCGCTTCTCTGTAAAATCAGATGTTTGGTCATTTGGCGTGCTGCTGTTTGAAATGATGTCACACGGCAAAATGCCTTATGAAGGTGAGAATATATATTTTTTAATTCTGGTTGTATCTGCAAACTTGCTAATAAATCTAGGCAAAGGACAATAGATTTAACAAATAGCAGCTAATTCTGATCTCTTTTCATTATTCTCATGTTGGTTCAGCTGTGGAACATCATGATGATAAAGTCTGATCATACTGTAGTTTAGCCTATACTGTGGCAACCTGAAGTTGCACACGATTTTGTTAATTGTTTGCACATTTTTTTCTCACTGCCGACACTGATTGTGATTCTTGTCACCTGTGTTAACCACAGTGACTTTACCTTTAAGCCCACATTCAGTGTGTGTGTTGTTGTGTTCGTGACTTGCTGGCCCGACCCAAGTTGTAGGAGCAGCTTCCTCAGGACCAACGAGTTTTTGTAAAAAGTTCCGAATCGAGGCGTTTAATCCCTCAGAGGGCTTATCTTTTTAACTGTGGAGTTATGGAGGCAAACCGCTGAAACTGAGCTGAAAGAAAAAGTCTGCTGGAAACAACGCCGAAAAGCTTCGTCCCGTCACGTCATTCTCCACAGCAGTAAACCTTTCACCAATACAAACAAAACTAAAACCTTTAAAACACACCAGCTGTCTCTAAAAACACACTCAACTCAACAAAAAACTCCTGGCTGTGGAGTTTTGTTTAATTTTGTTTTGTTTTGTTTTTTGTTTTTTTGTATGAGTGTTTTTTGTTTTTGTTTTTTTGTGTAGGAGTGTATTTTGTTTTGTGGGAGTGTTTTTTTATGTTAGTTTAATCTTAACACCCATGAACTCTTTGCTTGTGAAGTCAAGACCACCATTTGTGCTTGTAAAGCCAAGCTAACTGGAACTTTGAACTACAGTGGTTTTATACCACACATGTACACTGGGGTAGGGATAAATTGTTATTGTGTTGTTTATATTGTACTTACAGTGGTTTGCAAATGTATTCATACCCCTTGAACTTTTCCATATTTTGTCACATTACAACCACAAACATAAATATATTTCACTGGAATTTAATGTGAAAGACCAACAC